CCTCGCCCCTGCTCCTTCTCCTCGCCCGACCTCGCCCTCCGCTCGCCCTCCGCTTCTTCTCGCCCGCCCCTGCTCCTATCCCTCCCGCCCCTGCTCCTGTCCCTCCCGACTCTTCTCCTCTCCCGGATTCGGGCGGGTAGCGGCATTTCTTCCCCTGCCGGCACCTGGGTCGCTTTCAGCCGCCACTCTTTCATTGGGGAGGGAAATCTCCTTTTTTCATATCGAGGACTCCTGAAAACTCTCAAGTGTGCTGAGAGTGCCTGGTTGTTTTAAACTAAATATAAACCACCAAAAAAATAATAATTAGAACAGGCCTTCTTTTTATTAATGCTGGAAGAATTTACATGGCAGTCACTGCACTGCTGGTATAAACCCTCCACACGTAGTGCAATGGGCTGCCTAAAACACGTAGTGACTATCTTAATTTCACACTCTCATTTGAAGTTTCCCTTTACATTTTCAAGGTGACCGAGTGGGGAAAAAAATATACTATGGGAATTTTCTGCTAACAACTTTTAGAGACCATTGGTTCCTTCTGGAAAGGTCCCATGGGTCTGCGAAGCCCCTTGGCTGTGGCAGGGGGGGGGGAGCGAGCCCCCAGATTACACGTGTGAGCAGGGGGAGAGGTGTGAGCACCAGTCTGGGTACTGGTTGTAAATGAGCTGTGTTTTTAGCTGCCTTTTTTAATTATTTTTTCATTTTTAATTTTTTTTTTTTTTTAAATTGATAGAGACTCAGTGGAGTGAAAGAAGTGGGTGGTATATTTTGGGTAGTCTCTGAAGTGGAAGGAAAAAGTCCATTCCCTTCAGATAAATAGGGAAGTAGACTGATAAATTCTCTCACAAGGGGAGTTCGTGTCCATATATAAAATGTTTTAAAAGTGGGGTTTTGTAAACAGCATAAGTCTGAGACTGGGGCAAATGTATGTTTGCCTTTATATTTGAAGAGAAAGTTGTGACTATTCCAGACAAATTGAAGATTGAAGGAGATTCGCATCAGAAGGGAATTGCAGTTCTTGAGATATGAAGTGTAAAAATACACGACTGAGTGATTTAGCACAGCAAATGCCGTAGCAGCGGTCAGAGCAAACTGTTTGAGAAAGGCTGGGGGCAGACAGGCGGAGGGGAAGTAATAGGTGGTGCACAGGAGACCACGATGTCAAAGATGGATCGCGAGGTGAAAGGGAGGTGGAAGGCAGAGAGGAGTTGGATTACCACAGATGTGAGCGTCCCACTGAAGTTTTCCTGTCGAGATGGATGATTTCAGTCTTGGTGACATCAAACTGAAGAAAATTTCTATAGGGTCCAGTGTTGATGGGTCAGAGGTATGTACTGAGGGAGTCCAAGAAGTGGTAACTGGATTTTGAGTGTTTCTCTGAAAATGACTTAATAAAATGACATTTTGGGATTCTGTTGCAATTTCAGTTGTTCCCTCAAGTATTTCCTCTTAATTCATAGTAAAACAATAATTTTCAATCTGCAAATCTCACCAGTTAACCAGGTATATAAAAGACAGGCTGGTGTATTTCCTTCTCATACATCGTGAGGAATAGAGACGTCTTGCAGGTTGTGCATCGCTTCTGATGAGGTTTTGCAATTCTTGCAGTTCTATCAATTGGAAATTGATAAGCAGCAGTATTAGTAATGCACAAGAAGGAATGTGCTCTGCTGCTCTGGGGCTTCTCCAGATGCTTTCTGTGTCTGTGCAGAGGTCTAGATACACTCGTGTACAGCTGGGCAGTGCTTTAAGGAGAATTGAGTGTGATCGGCATAAAAGCAGTCACTAAGATTGAGCTTTGAAATAACAAGCCAGCTGAAAAGAGCTGGTCACTGAAGGAGTGATGCAGCAGAGGTTTTCTGAACGGTGTTCGTGTCCAAAGCACAGGAAGGGAAGGGCTGGTATTAGTCTGGGAGAAGAGAGGTCTGGTACAGGGGAGACAAGCGTGGTCTAGAAATTCGTTGGTAGGTCAAGGAATATAAGTGGCTTAAGGGAGCTGTGATCAGCGAAATGACAAAAAGTAGCTGCACTCTCCTGATACAAGCCTGTACTAGGTTTGATCAGAAGGTGAGAAAGTAGAATCTAGAGTTTTTCGAGAGACCGTATCAGCTGAAGGAGGAGGTTTAAGTATTGAGGGTGTTGTATGACAAGTCAGGTTTGGCATGAAGGAGGGTGAAAGCGTGTGAGGTTCAGTGTTAGTAACCAGCTAGGGGAAGAAATGGGACAAGAGCTGGTGGGAACAATGGTTTTATCTGATGGGGCTGCTGAGTTCAAGGCCAAACACAACCTGCTTCCCCTGGCAGTGGATCTTGTGGGGCGCAGCCGCTGTGGCAAGGGAACCTGGGGCTGATCCCTCAGGCCTGCAGTCTCCATCAGATTCTCTGTGTATATGATTGATGATTGATTATGCAGTAAATGCGTGCTGTCCTTGTTGTCTTTTTTGAGTTTATTATTCTTAAGTAAGGCATTTAAATCAACTGTGCATTTTTGGTAGTCTGAAAAATGTAAACACTTTATGGAAAGAAACGTAAGCACTAAGATTGGAAATAAAATATACTTGTATCTTTTAAAAGGTTTATCTTTACCCTTAAATATGCTGATTGGGCTGATTCTTTTTGCTTAGTCTTTGTGGGCTGTGAAAATCAGTTGCTTTTTCCCATCTCAAGGAAATGCATCTTTGACACTTCTCATGACCTGAGTCACGATGCTGTCACAGAGCCAGAAAACATCCTTAACGGTCATGGGTAAAGAGCAGAGCTGCCGAGGGTGGGTGGTGGGTGGAAGAGGGAGGGAGATTGCTATGGTTTACTTCAGTTCCTATTCTATGGGTGTTTCAGGCAAGCCATTTATTATAATTATCCATGGATATTATTATCAAGTTCTCATATGCAGTGGTTCTCAAGGCACGGTTTTTTTTCCACATGACTTGGGACAAATACTGTGTATTCAACCTGAGTTGATTTCAGATACTAAAGTATTTGTGCTAATCATTGCAGCTAGAGCAAGGGAAAATAAGACATAGGTAAAAAGGTGGGGGGAAAAAAAAAAAAAAAAAAAGCCACAAATGTATTAACATGTAGTTTATTGTCAAGACGAAATTCTCTTGTGCTGTTAAACTTCCCCTGCCCTCTCACTCAACACAGCTGCATACAGAGATGTCCTTCACAAATTCCCAGACCTGTCCTTTTCCAGTTTCTAAGACCAGTTTTTCTGACTTTGTCCCAGTGCAAAAAAAAACCCTTAAGTTCACAAAGACCATTTTATTCTGTATCATTTGGAAGAGAAGTCTGAGACACGCGAATTTTCTCAAGTTCACAATACTGAAGCATCTCGGAGTCATCCCTGAAAGAAGGCTTTGAATTCACAACTGTGTTGATAAGAATTATGATTGATAGACACGACAAGGGGCAGTACTAGTACATACTTGTTTTCTCAAGCGCTTCATCATTCACCAGCAGACAGTGTTAGTAAAATTCCCATGTGCAAGAAACTGGAGTAACAGAGTCTCTACACAGTGCCCAGAAGCTGCCTCTACGATAACCTCATTAGTGGAGTGTTGAGTCTGAGCTCACACAGTCCTTTCCTTGGAAGGGTTTGCAAACTCATGCTCTGTGTTGTGGTGACTACAGCTACAGCTTCTGGTCCAGACCTGGCCTACAGCCATGCGCTGGGGAGGATGGGCAGTGCCCCTTTGCATTTGTTTGCAAAATATTCTGTAGCTTTACACAGAGTAGTTGCAAGAAACTAATCTTGCAGTCTTTTAATCTGTGACAAATTGAAGGTGTGAGGTTTGGACCCCACTGCCTGTGGCTGGTGTTTACTGGACATGACTTAAGATCAGAACTGCCAGTTTGGCTGATTTTCCTGGTAACCACCATCTGGAACAAACCAGCTGAAGTGTCACTGCTGCTGCCTGCTTTATGGACATGCAAAGCCTGGAGCCAGCAGCTGGCAATCGAGTGGTGGTGTGTTTTTACTTCAAGGAAAGTTTTGCCCATAAATGGACTTGAGCTTTGCACCAACAATATTTTTAGTCAAGCCCTGAAAGATGATTATTTTGCCAGACTTGTTTGTGTGGCGATGGAGGGGTTGTTTTCTAAGGAAATGCTTAAAGGCACCTTTACTGTGCAGCTCTTTGAGGAACTGCAGCACAGCAAAGTGGTACCTGTACAAAACAAGGAAGAAAAATGGCGAGGGAGGAAGCAGACATTTGTGACAGATTTTCAAGGAGATATTTTTTTACACGAGGCTGTTAACACTATGGATGTCCTCACAGCTGCTGGTGAGAGGTGCCATGGGGCCCAGGACACAGTGGCTGATCTGGCAGAAGTGACTTCCTCTCCCTTTTGATTCCTGCAGACTGTCAATGTAATTTCTTTTCCATTCAGAAAAGAAGAAACACGCACAGAGGTGGGAGAAGTGGCCAGACATACATCACTAATTGTAGAAGTAAATGACAGGTTCAAATCCCAGCTTGAGATTTAACTGTTCTTTCGTAATCCATCTTTGGCCAGGTAGAGATAACAGGCAGCAAAGGGGTCACAGCAGTTCCTTCTCTCTTCTGACCTTTGCCAAGGACATAAAGAGATTTTGGGATATCAGTGGGACACTTTATAACAGAGGGACAAAGTTTTTGAAACTGAAGATAGTGAAAAAAAGAGAAACTTCAGAAGGAGGAAAGGAATATTATGAGGCCGTGGTTAGATTTTTGAGTGGATGATGCTGGTGAGCAGCTGGAGGAGCTGAAGTTCAAGGAGCTCGGGTGAGAGGGCAGAGGACCTTGACTCATCAGCAGCTGAGACACTTGGACTTGCACTTGTATGTCTCAGCAGAGCATTCTGACTTATGAGCTTCCCTAGCACCATCACATGCCTTGCCTGGATGCAAATAGAGAGAAACTTCTGCTTTCTTAGGACAGTTGTGAAATTTAGTGTGACTGTGTTACAAAAGGTTCAACATCAAGAAGTTTTAAACATTACAAAAACAACCGGCTGCGTTATTTTCTCCCATCCATTTCAGTGGAGTCAAGTTAGTGATAGGTTTTGGACTTGCACCAGTTTAGCTGAGAGAATTCTCTAAGTAGCTAGAACATGTGCGTATACATGCTGTAGCAAATGCAGAATATCCTTCCTTAATGAGTCTAACTGTTTTGGAAATATTGCGGGCTAGAGCGTGAAAATAATGCGATTTTGATAGGGTACAATTCAAGGAAATTGCAATGTAACTTTAATTTTGAAGCAACCATTACCTAAAATAATTAGTTTCCTGACTTTTTCTAGGATAACGTGCAACGTCTTATGAAGAAAGATAAAACACATTTGACTGAATAAAACACAACATGAAGGGGAGGGCCCAGTTTGGCCGTACTGGCGCTCGCGGTGTTGAGCGCGTTTCTCGGGGCGCGCCTGCATTCGTTTGGGAGGCTCTGCCCGAGCACCCCTGGAGCCAGCACCGCTTCCAGGGCGCTCCGCTCGGGTCACAAGGCAGCCTTTCTCACCAGGGCGCTGCTCTTTCCTCTTCCGACTGTAGCAGATTACAGATTATACTGGAACATGCCTGAGAAAAGGTCAGAAACGAGGGTGAAAGTCTTGGAACTGGAGCTGGGAAGCTTTCCATTCTCATCCGGGAAACTTTTTGCATTGAAGAGAAAACAAAGCAAAATAAACCATCACATCCACGACACTTCTGTTTTTCCTGCTATTTTCTCTCTGCCAGTTAGAAAGGATTTTACTTCCCTTGCGTTCTATAGCTAATGAATGTTTAGTTGAGGAATCTTCAGTGTCACACTGAACAGAAATAATGGCCCAACACAGTTCATTTTGTGTAACTCAGCCTCCACATGATTGCATAGCCTTGGGTCACTGTGTTTTTATTTACCAAATTAAAGATGTTTATATGGAGTGTTAATGTCAGTAGACTACGTGGTGTGCTTTGAAATCCAGTCTGTTAAATACTGTAAGACATAAAAGCTAATCAAGTGGGTTTTGAATTTTAATGACACTGCATTACTAAGCTTTTTGTGTTGGAGTAGTGGAAGAAAAATGAAAAAAGTCAACAGGATCATTTTATTATGAGCCTGAGGGGTGCTCAGTACCACTTTGTACTTCGTGTGAAGTGTGTAGAGAAACTGAAATCCTTGTGATCAGTACTTTCCTACCAGAAAAACTCTAGACCAAGTCCCATTTGGTTTGCTCACTAACAGGGTGAGCAACAGGAATTTCTCTATGCAGAAGAGGATCCCACAACACTGGAATTAGGAGACTTGCCATGTGCAATTGAAACTGCCAGGGGAAATGGAATGGGTCCAATGATTTAATTTCAGTTTGGTGGTAAGAAGGTGTTTGCATCCCTCAGGTGTTTGGGTGTAGTTTTGGTTTTAAGCTGGGTTGTGAGTTCCCTTTCCATCTGGTGGGGTGAGGCTGTTGTCTGCACGTGCGGCTGGGATGTAAGGTACAGATGCATTAGAGCTGCATTTAAACCAGGAAAGAAGTGATTTGGTGGCATTAATGTGTGGACTAATGGTGGTCCTATGCATGGACTAAAGAGAAGGGCAAAGTAACGGTAGAGCGATCAGCGGGGCTGCATCAACATAATTCTTTCAGGATCCAATAAAGTCTCTTTGTGTAACACTGGCTGCACTGTGCTGTATTCACAGATGAGCTCTTCAGGGAATGTATCTGCTGTGCTCCATTTTGATGTATATTTATGTCATTAGTAGCTGCAAGAATCAGGATGTTTTTCTTCCTTTCTCCTCAAAGATCATCTCTGACAGTAGTGCCCTGAAGTGCTCCATTCAAATTCTGACCAATTTGAAATCTGGCCTGAATTCATCAAGGCTCTTAGTTGATCAGAAGAGGACAAGTTTACTGTATTAATTGCTTTCAGCCGATTGAGTGCTTTTTATAGAGTGTTACAGGCTCGCAAGCCTAACACGTTTTCCCTTAGGTGCAGCTTTCCTTTCATACCCAAAAATATACTTTGAAAGCTTAGAAATGTGCAATTGGATCAAATGTTTAAACTTCCCATTCAGGCCTTAAGACTATTTCAAAGATTTAATGATGATTGTAAATAAAATAATCATAAATAAATCTCTCTCAGTAACAGCACTGCCGTGGTGGAAGGCCATGGAGGGTGGAGAATGGCTCCTTGGTGCAGCTCCCAAGTGTCAGAGCCGGGTCCCCGCCATGGGCTGTGTGGGGGAGGCAGGGACACGAGCCCGGCCGGGCCGTACCTGGGAGCTGCTCCTGATGGCTTTTCCACAGATGTCCAGCTTTGTCAAAAACCAGTAAATCTTATGAAGTTTATTTTCCTTATAGCATCTGTGTTTTATAATGGTGCTTTTAATTTGTTTTTCCTTTGTCTGCTGGGATTTCTTTTGTCCGGCACTTTGAGGCCTCCCTTTTTTTCTGGGTGGAAGTGAGTCTGTTAATGATGGCCGGCTTGGGAATACACCCCGGCCAGGCCGGCACGGCAGCCGCTCCCTCCCTCGGACAACAAAGCCCATTGTTGTTTTCTTTCTTCACTTTTATCCTCAACTTAATCCATTTTTCCTTTGAGGATTTGTGGAATAAAATGTCTGGAAAAGTGCGGCTCAGATTTTGGGTGGATGGCGTGGTGGCGGTTTTGTAGCAGACTTTCAGCAAACAGGTACGAAGGCAGAACTAACTGGAGGTATTTTCTGTGCCTCAGTGGGAAATGTTTATCCAATATAATGCTGCACTTGTAAATAAACTTTTGCTGCCAGACTACCAGAGCCACAACATCCTTGGCTTTCTGCAGGTCCCTCTGTAAAATTAGTGAGAGATTTCACTGCAGTTTAAATTGAGACATAAAGACTTTTTTTTTCCCCCCCTCTCTAGTGGTAGTCTAAAAGGCTGATTTGGAATTAACTGTGGGAGGTTTTTTGACTTGGGTATAGCTGTGATCAGGAATTTGGACCTTGAGTCTGTAACATTTGAATGAAAATAACACAAGTGCTTCCTTTCACTTGCGTCCTGAGCTGTGGCCCAGAGTGGAGAGGGAGCGAGGCAAGTGGGAGGATGCATACCCCTAAGCTGGCTGTAATGTATTCCACACATAGTTCTTGAACTGTCATCTGAAAATCTCTTCCATGGCAGCCCATGGAAAGACAAATACTTGACCGAAAGGTCTTGCCCTGCCACGGGGTCCTGAGGGCTGTTAGGCTCACGCTCTGGGTGATTACCGAGGGAAAGTGCCTCGTCACTCGGGATACGCTGCTGGAGGTGGTGGGGCTGACTCTTGAGAGGGCACACTTGCCATGAAATTGGGTTGATGGTGATTAATTTTCTCTAAATTAATTGCAATATTGAAAGTACTCCTTGAATTGTCAGCAGGGTGTGATTTGTGTGTAGCTGTCAGTATACAAGCAAGCTAGCATTTAAATTTAAACAGGGCTAAGTGAGGCTACTCTATTTGGGGTTTTATTCTTTATTAATATACGTATTTCCTTATGGAATTAATATATATTGTCCACGTGTGGCAAGGTAACTTGAGCAAGGTAACAGGATTCTGCTGTATGAAAAAAATGTTGGATATTTCTAGCAGACTTAAACTTTGGCTTATTTGTTGCTTGTCCTTTGACAGTGAATCAACAACTGCTTGAGCTGTAGAAATAATGTTGATGCTTGACTGCATTCTTTGTGCTCTCTTGGCCCGATACGACAGTCCTGCACACACGCAACTCCCATTTACTGCAGGAGGAGGTTCCTACTTCAAAGGGCTGGAGGAATGGAGGATGACTGTCGAATTTCTGTATGGGTACAACGGCAACACCATAAAATCATGGGGTTTTAAAATGACTTAATAAACAGAACGTGTGACACTGTTTTGTTCCAGCGAAACTCAGAATGCACAATACAGCTTTTACTGAAGGCTTAGGAAAGGAGCAGCCCTTGCCATAGAGTGCATTTACTGCATCCCCAAGGCTATGCAGTTAAGACGACAAGCATGTACCTCTCTGATAGGTCTGAGGCAACATACAATGAAGATGTAACAGTATAGAACATTTCCATCATAAAAATAGCTAAAAATAATCCAGTGTAAACAAAAGCAAATACTTTTGCTTTTTAAAGTTTCTTTAACCAAACATCCTCACCATCTTAATATTATTGTAGTCAGGTTTTCAAGAAAAACTTCAGTGTCAGAAAGATGTCTCCATTTTGTAGCATTCCAACTTTCAATTTTTGACTTGTATCATTTATTTGCAGTTAAGCAGTTGAACATTGCTGCAGAAAATCCAGATTGTTAGGCAATACTTATTGAAATATGTGTTTAGGTATTTACAGCTTTTTCATTTGTCATAGCTGAGTTTTTTTATCATGTTTGTGCTGTAAAGTGCTGTGCTTTATGAGCTCTGGTTTAGTTAATTTTTTATTGACCTTTGTATGCATCAGATTTAGCTGTGCATTTAAAAATGAAACGCTTGATCTCTCAATATTCGTGGGTTCTTGGGTTGTTTGTTGGTTTTGTTTTTTTTTTTCAGAGAAGAATAATCTTAGATTTAGGTCCTGTTCAGCTTCTCTTTTACATGTTTTCAGTTCTCTCTGCATAGTTTAGTAATTTTTTTATTTACTTTATGTTTTCTTACGTGTGAGCCTAAAAATTTATAGGGCGATGTTGCTGCAATTCATAAAAAACTCCTGAGTAATCCTGTGGTTTTCTGCATATCCTTAACTGCCTTGGGATTCCTCAACTTGTATGAAAATAAAGCAGCTCCTGGCTGTGTGGAAGGGAGAGCTGTGAACGCCTCCCTTCTCTGCATGCAAATATTCTATTGAATCAGCTGGGGGTTTTGCATATGGAAAACTACATGATGTTGGGAGCGGAGGGCACTGAGTAATTAAATGTGCCTTGATAGAGAGGGGACTGTTACAACACAGTCGTTTGGTTCAGCA